GTTAGCCCGTCTGCAGCAGCCGCGGCTAGCGTTAGCCCGTCTGCAGCAGCCGCGGCTAGCGTTAGCCCGTCTGCAGCGGCCCTCTATCTTTCCTTTATTCCCCCAATAAATGAAAAGTCATAATAACAGGAGGTGAAATGCAGCTCCAGACGAGCTGAGCGTGTGGTGATGTCATCAGTACGCTGCTGTTCCAGTTGACCAGATTTATGCTGCGTTTTCCCGTTAAAACGTTTATGGAGGGCAGGAATAATTTTTTTGTGATTGAGTCTTGCCATAAACGTTCTGCTGGAAGCGTGAAGTCGTTCTTCAGCGTTTCACCGCCATCTCTCCTTGTTTTTTATCTTTTCCCTGACAGGAGTTTGCCGACTCTCTGGCCATCCCTTTCCTGGAGACCAGTGCCAAGAACGCCACCAACGTGGAGCAGGCTTTCATGACCATGGCGGCTGAGATCAAGAAGCGCATGGGCCCCGGGGCCACGGCCAGCGGGGACAAGCCCAACCTAAAGATCGAGAGCACCCCAGTGAGGCAGTCTGGAGGGGGCTGCTGTTAAGGGACCCCCAGTCCTCCCATCACGGTTTTATCCCCGCCCCTTACCCCCCACCCCCAGCTTGCTCTTTTCTCCCTCCTGGAAAAACGGTAGAAGGTTTCTTTAGTCGGTCGGCGAGTCGTCAGACGGTGGAGAGGTTCTACCCAGAATCCTTTAGGGGCGGCGTCCTGCATGCGACTGATGATCCTGGTTCAACGCCACAACGATAAAAAGCGTTGGACGGGAGAAAAGGATCCATGTTGTTAAAGACGGCGTTCTCTAGAACCGTTAGCAGTTATGACCAAACCTTTCTTCTCTTCTTCCATCCTGTCTTTTTTTTTTTTTTTTGGTCCTGGAAGTCTCCGCTGCTAACATATTTAGCCTCCCTCCTGTTAGCCTCCAGATGAAGCTCTCTCAGGCTAACTCCGCCACCGCGCCTCCTTAACTTCCTGTTAGCCTTCAGTTCTCACCTTCAGCTCCATCAATCGGAGACTTCCACAACTTTAGAAAGCTCCTAGCCAAACCTCGGCGGGAAAAAGGTGGAACCGATGAGTTTCCTCCGGGCTGATTCTGCCTTAGCGGCATTTTTACGCGTTTGTAGGAGCTGCGATCTAGCTGCTAGCCGTCCCGCTCTGACATCTCTTTCCATTAAGACACTAAATACTTCCATCATCAGCAGGTGGCGCTAATCCCCGTCCACGATATCGTCATTACAGCGAGCTAGAAGCCTTTAGCATTAGCTTGATTTTCTTCGGGGTTTCGGTGATATTTTACGCTAACCTACAAACGAAGGGAAGAGACGCCAGCGTCCTAGCTAGCCCCCAACCATCCAACATCCTGTAGCTTGAGCTTCGCCTTTAGCATCATGAGCACTAGCTAATGTTTGTTAGCCGCATGGTGGACATCCAGAACAGCCTTCTTTTTTTTTTTTCATCTGCAGCCTTAAAACTTTATGAGAAAAAAAATGACACACTCCATCTGTAAAATTATGGAGATAGATTGGAGCCATAAATTTGTTTTTTTTACTAAAAATAAATGTTGAAACTAAAAAATAAATTTGAATCCCAAAAAAAATCGAAAATAATGTGAAGTTGAAAAGGAAATTTTTGAAACTACTTTTCAGTTTTGTTTTTTATATAACTTAAAAAAATGGAAAACAGATCTGATACTGGAGTAAAAAAATGAATCTGAGAAGTAGTTTCAAAGACTTTTTCTTCTGTTACACAATTTTTAAATCATTTCAGTTATAAAAATGATGTAGTTCCAACTGCTTTTTTTTTTTTTTTGTTTTCCGAATTGTGTTTCAGTTTCTACAATTTTTTTCCCACTTTAAAAAAAAAAAAAAAAATGTAGACTCAACTTTATGGCCCCTATGTAGCTCCATACTCATCCCGATCTGATCTGCTTCCAGCCAACCGGAGCGCGTCGATCGGATCAGACTGGGCGACGTTCCGATGTCCCCGACCGATGTTAGCGCCGCCGTATCCGTGAGTTAGGAGTCTGTTCTGATGCCTGCAGCTGTTTCAGGACCTCCTGCTATGAATCAAAACTGGAATCTTGCTGCTGAACAAAAAATAAATAACATAAAAATATTTTCCCGCTAAAGTGAACAGAACCCCCCACCCCCACCCCACCCCCCCTTAGCTAGCAGCTCTGCAGCCTCGGCGACTTCATCTGGAGTTTCAGGGACTGACTGGTCTGGGATCGACGACCGGATATGAACTCCCTGACTTTTAATAAAAAAAAAAAAAAGATTTCTGATTCCCTCCCCCCCCCTCCCTTAAAAACCAAAACTCTGGATGTTGAGCATAAAGTGTACAGAGCAGGAAGAAAGTGCATCTCTCCATCACGGCATCACGCCGTCCTCACCGCCGCCGCCGGTGCAGAACAAGAATCCCACAGCAAAGCGGTCTTATTCTCACGCGTGGATCTTTGATCGCACGTTTTTTTGTTTGTTTGTTTTTGTTTTTGTTGCCTGTCTCTGTTGTCCAGGCGACGGATTGTTGGTGTTCTTTCATTGAATCCTGTGTGTTTAGGAAGGATCAGGCTGATCTGTAGGTGGGAGGACGGGGACTGGAGTCTTTGGCTCATGAATGTGATTTGGCTTTTTTTTTACTTCTGTTTCGGGTTTCCTTTGATCGGGGGGGGGGGGTATTTTGTGTCATTTTGCACATTTTTTTTTCTTGCTTTCCAGTAGTTGAATGCAGCAGGCGCTCTGTAGAAGGTGTTAGCTAAAGAAACACCAGCTAATCGCTGTCATGTCACTTTTTCTGTCTCGTTTGGCTTGTTCCCTTCGGTTTCTGTCTCACTGCACAGTTTCAACTTGTCTTTTTCTGTACATAATAAAAAAGATATATGTAATAAAATTCTGGAAAAACAGCGGCTGGAGACGGTCTGAAAATGTCCGTCTGTCTCGCAGGTGATTGTCCTTCCTGGTTTAGATGGAGGAATTCTTCAGGATGAGGTTTTATATGAGTCAAATGTTTCAAATTTAAAGCTTTTAAATAAAATCTGCTGCTGATGTGGAAAAAAGATGCCAATTTGTAGATTAGATCATTTTTCTAAATGAGCTCAGAGCTAAAAACTTCAGGTAAGTCCATTTAGTAAGAAACTTGTTTCCTGAAGGTTAAAGTTTTTAGAAATAATTTCTATTCAAACGTCGAGTTGAACCAAAGTATTTAAATCCAGACGTGCTGTTATTTTTAAACATTTTCTACATAAAATGGCATCTTGACCTGATAAAGCCAGAGGAGGAGAGAATAGAAAGTATGGAGTTAAATATGGAGCGTAAATGTTGTTCACTACTTTTATTTTTTTTACTGAGAATTTAACTAAACCGTTTTTATTTTTTAATCTAAAGGTATATATATATAGTTTTTTATAACTTTCTATATTTAGAAAAAAATATTTTTTTTAAATTAACGATGGGAACCTGAATTGATGAGATATTTTTCCAGATAAAAATTTTTGTTTTAACTTTTCGTTTGAAACTGATGGAACTGAGCAGTTTGAACGTGAAAGAAAAACTAAAATATAATCTAAAAATAGTAAAAAAAATAAAAAAAAAGTTGGTTTTTAACAAACTTTATGGAGCAAAAACAATCTCCATAATGCCTCTCTGGCCAACATCACTGTATAATCACCTCTATTTCATCCTTATGGAGCTCATTTCGGGCCACAAAGTTTACTCTAAAACTTAAAAAAAATAAAGATCTGACAGCAAAAATAATCTTTTCAAAGTACTTTTACCATAATCCTTGTTTTAGCTTTTTATTATTTATTTTTAAGATTTTTCCTACTATTTTCCAGATTTTATTTTCCAGTTTAAATTTGTTAAAAACAAAATAAACCCAGAAAGAAAAAAAAACTACAATTTGAAAAGTAGTGTAAAGATATTTTCTGTTTTATATTTGTTAAATTGAAATTTTGTATCTTAGTTATCTTTTTTTAGATTTTGAAGAAATAACTACAAAATGCAGAGGTAATATTTTACCAAAACACTTGATGCAAAATAATTCTTCATTTTAAAATTTATTTTTTGTTTTTTTTTTAGTTTAACAAATCTTTTAAACCCTAGGGTCCATATTTAGTGCCATACGTGCATAAAATATTACATTTGTTTAACAAAGTCAAAATTTAGAAGTCAGAAATAAAAACACTGGTTTCATATTAAACAGGAATACAAAGGCTGCCATTTGTGGAAGTTCAAAGAGAACAAACCCAAATTCTATGGGGTTATTCTGCCGTTATTCTGGTGGTTCATATTTTAAAGAAGTATTTTCACATTTATCTCATGTATTACTTAATTTATGCAATTAGCTGGTTTTCCTTAGAAAACGGAACCAATCTGACTGGATGACCTAGTAGAGACACCTCTGTTAACGTGTTGTGAACTGGTCCTGAAGAAATTCATTTTATTAATATTTATAATAAAAAAAATTAGTTTGGAACTATATATATATATATATATATATATATATATATATATATATATATATATATAGTTATATATAGTTATATATAGTTATCACCATGACAGGTTAAATAATACAAAACTATTTATTTTTGACATGTCACAAATGGACCCCCATAGACTGAGTTCCAAAAACAATTTACCTGAAATCCTCTTTAACTCATGGTGGGTGTAAACCAGGGAAAGATTTACCATTAGGTAATACTAGGATGGGGCCCCAAGTTCCTGGGGGCCTCATAAAACTCTGTTTCCATGTCTGGTTAATACAACTATTCCTTATTTGTGCACATTAATTATGTTTTTGATAAAAATCCTTTGGCTAAAATGCCATCAGAACGCTGATAATATTAAGTGTGTCTCAGCCCCCCCCTTCAGTGTCCGCCATATTGGATCAGTCCATTTGCTGCACATGTTCAGAAAGGTCCAAACAGACAGCAGCAAACCATTTGAAAACAAACCATGCAAAGAGCAGTGTTGCCAACTTAGCGCTTTAGTCGCTATATTTAGCCACTTTTCAGACCCCTCTAGCACTTTGATTTCTAAAAAGCTCCTAGCGCCAAATCTAGAGACTTTTTTCTGCTACTGGAGACTTTGGAGACAACATCTAAAAGCAGCGAACTCTGCTCTCCAGAGCGAGTAGATTGGTAACCCCGCCTCCTGCTCTCCTCTATCTTGTCTGCTGTCATGATTCATGCAGCTATTATTTCATCCAAATGAAAAATGGAGAACAGATAAGCAGATCATGGCTTGTCTACAGTGAAAAGAAGGACTGGGTTATTTACTTTGGCCTTTTTGGAAACACAGGAAGGAGCAATCAGCTAAGTGAGCTTAGTGCTTGGAAAAAATCTTTCATTCCTTTAGAGACAGCATGAAAAGTCAGCTGAGTACAAAACATAGAGAGGAAAACAAGAAGAAAAGGGACAAGAAGAGAGGGACACAACCTAGAACAGATAATGGATGTCTATTCTATTAACATTTCCCTCATTCAGAGGGCCCCCTGCCTGTCTTTGCCTAGGGCCCCACATTTCCTAAACCCGCCCCTGGATGCCGTACTGGGTGGAGAGGAAGTTTGTGAATCAAGTTCTTAAATTCCAGCACTTTCTGCTGATATGAGACCATAAAATAAAAGCTTTGTCACCGTGGAAAGTTTGATCCTGTTTTCTGAAATACCAGGAAGGAGAATCAGAAATTTTTTCTACTGGGTGCAGTACAGCAGAGATCCAGTAGATGGAGCTTTTTCCCGCTTTCCCATAATTTAGGAATTTGACATATTTTTGATGAATTTTTATTTAAGATGACCGTTTTCTATAAAATCTGAATTAGAACTCAAGAAAAACTGATAAATTCAGCTGTAAAAATGAGAGCAATTTCTTTTGAAAAGAACATTTAGCAGATTAAACTGGGATCCTATCTTAATCCCACTGACACTATCACCTTACTGTTTTTAAAATAATTGGTAAAACAGAATTTGTAAAGAAAAAGAATGAAATAGATCCAAATGATATATATAACTTTTAAAATGTCAGTTTTACTTAATACTATGTGGCTACATGTAATATGCCCCCCTAGGGGTCAGGAACCCCCTGTATAGAGGAAGGGCGTGCAGGTGGCGCATATTATGGATGACCAGATCTACCATATTAAAATAAATACATAAAAATGTAAATGTTCTATAAATAAATAAGCATATTTTAATTGCAGTAAAATGCTAACCAACCAATGGGCAGAAAGTGACCCTCCAAGACACGCCCCCTCCTCATTTGCATAATGACAGGCTGTAAAAACGCATTTAAATAGCATTTAAAAAATAAATAGGGTAAAAAAAATAGAAGGTAAGTATAAAACAGACAAAAATGTTATAACATGCCCATAAATAATTACTATAAAAATAATTAATTAATAAATAAAGTTGAAGATTATAACAGACAATTAATAAATAAGGTAATTATTACAAAGGTGAATAAATAAAGAAGCTAACTAAAAGAGATATATAATTTAATTTCTACCTACATTTATTTGTTTATTATATTTTGGGGGGCAATTATTGTATACTTATTTATTTATGGTGCATTTAGTTATTTCTGTATTTATTTTTAAAATGGCAGAGTTGGTCCTCCATATACTATAGCTTAAAGAGACAAAGATAAACATCTAAGACAA